CCACAGAGCTGGTTCTGCAGCCCACATTTTTTTTTTTTAGAGAGATTTTTGCTATAGGGTGCATGTGCCTGCTGGCGAGACAGAAAGTGAAAAATCATCCCCCAGAGGGGATGGCTTCGTCACAATCCCTTCTCCATTCTCCTCTTGGGATTTTGGGCATGCATACACAAGCGCCTGGCATGAGTTTTAAGCTGCTGGGTTTGGGCCTTGAACAGTGGTTGACTACATGGAAGTCCAGCAATGCAACCACTATGCCATCTGCTGGTTCCTGGAGTCTGTTTTTAAAAGCAATTTTATGGGGCTAGCAGGTGGTGTGGTATTTAAGGCATTAGACTCCCACATGGCCAACTGTGGTTTGAGTCTTTGACGCAGTGGCTTGAAAAATCATACCAGGTGTGTCTATGTACATGCCCCAAATCCCAAAAGGAGTCTGAGAAGGGAATGCAGCATGGTCATCCCTTTTGGCAGGGGAGGTTATTTCTCCGTTCATCAGAAATGACTGGATGTGGCTGTCTTTCAGTAAGACTGCTCATGAACCCTGATTCTGTTCATATAATCCCCACACATCACAAAATATTATTCTTTATTACAACCATTTAGAGATATAGAAAAATGGGCCAGCCAGTAGCCTGGTGGTTAGAGCAGTGAGATCCCACATGGCTGACTGCACAATTTGAGTCCAGACCTGGAGGTTTGAAGAACATCCTGGGTACATGTGTGTGCATGCCTAAATTCCTAAAAGGAAGGTTAAAGAGAGAAGGGGACTGTAGTGTGACCATCAAACATAGGAAGAATTTTTTCATCTTCTCTCTGTTTCTCTAGCAAGCACACGTGTCCTTTGGCAAACTGAAAAAAAAAATCACAAAAACCATTTTTAGCTCGTAGACCATACAAACAGGAAATGGCTCAAATTTAGCAACCTTGATATGAAGCTATGTTGTTTGCTAACGCTTTTCTGAATTTTTAAATTTTTTATTATTAGTTTTTTTAATCTTTAATTTGCTTGATGATGCATGAGCCCACCAGTAAGAGACTGAGAGGGAAAGTCAAAAAGCACCCATGAGGGATGGCCATACTGTAATCCCTTCTCCTCCATTTTTCCTTTTGGGACTTTGGTATGCATGCACATGCGCTTGGAGTGTTTTTCAAGCATCTGGGTCTGGGACTTGAATAGCACAGTCAGGTATGTGGGATCCAGCTGCTTTAACCATCACACCAACAGCTGGCCCAACTAATTCTTTCTTTTTTTGATAAACTTTTCAGGTAGTGATGAGATTAAACACAGCATGTATTTAATGAAAAAATTTAAGCATCAAATTTCCATTTTCCTAGAAATATGAGGAACTTGTAAATTGCATAAAATGTTTTTCCATATTGACCATCCAAAGTGCTAACTCTAGCAACTTGAAAATTGCTAATGAAACAACAGCATTGTGTTTTTCCTAAAGAACTATTTTAAGGGGCCAGCAAGTGGTTAAGGGTGCTGGAATCCCACATGACCAACCACGGTTCAAGTCCCAGACCTGGCAGCTTCTTTCTCTCTCTCTCCCCCCATCCTCTGGTCAAATTTAAAAAAGAATATTTTATTTAATTTTATTCAGCGTGGGAAGCTGCACACCAGCAAGTCTGCCGAGGTTTCTCAGAGAGTAAACAATTACCATGATTGGTTCCCTTCCAAAAACCTGACCTTCGAAACCTTGCTCTGATTGGCCACAAGAATCCCTCAAATTTGCATATCCGGCACCTCATGATTGGTCCAAAAGCAACCAATCATAACCCACTGTTAACAACCAATCACAGCCCACCGTTTACAACCAATCAGGGCCCACAGTTTACAACCCACCAGAGTGTATATAATCACGATGCCTGGCCCACAGTAGCCAGAAGACGATGATGACCAGGAAGACGACAACTGAAGAGCCTGAAGAGCTGACACTGCATCATCTCCAGATGACCTGGGAGACCCTGAAGAGTTGTAACACTACATCGTCTCCGGACGACCCTGAAGAGTTGTGACACTGCGTCGTCTCTGTGTTGCTCACAGTAGACGACGTGACCCTTAAGACGTGCTGCCCACAATAAACGGACGACACTGTCGTCTCCGTGCTGTAACACTACGCCGCTTGTCCCGGCTCTCACTCCTTCACTCAGGAAACCTGTTCAGCTGTCCCCCCGGGTCGGGACAATTCAGTATCATTATTTTATTTTATTTTATTTTTGAAACTGATCAGAGAGCGACAGAGAGGAAAGTGAGAAAGCAAGTTGCCAGAATCGGGACTCGAACCACTGTCAGCAATGTGAGAGTACAACTGCCTTAACCATCATGTGACCCACTGGCCCCACCTTTATAATTTTAAGAAGACTGTGTCTGAAATTGAGGCTGTAGCAGCAGGTATGTTTACTCACATTTAACTCTGAAAAATGATTTTCATTTAGACCAAATGGTAGCTTCTCTACATAAATGTCATTCAGTTTGTTCATTCCAGAGTTTGTGATATGCAAATGAAAGATAATGTCACAGTTTCTGTGTTGGTTTTATAGCAGAACTTCAGAATTGTGCCAGCATTATATCAGCACATCAGACTCTTCAAACAGAAAATCAGTTAATCCTAATAACCACTTGACGTCATAAATGCTACCATAAGCTTGGTAAGTCCCACACTGAGGGCCAGACTATGGACTGGTGGTTTAGGAAGCTGGATCCATGACTGAT